ATAATTTTTAGACAGGAGTTTTAAAATGTATTCCATGGCTTGAGTGCTTTAAAATATTTTCTTAGATCTTTAAGGGAGATTTAGATGTTTGGTTGTATATATTTGTGCTACTTTTGTTTGTTTTTTTTTTTTTTTGTTTTATTAAAATCAATTTTGACTATTTCCACAGTAAAAACGGCATGGAATTATTAATATTTTTTTTTAATCTGTATTCAATATACATATGTATAAAATAACTAAAATGAAAATGAGCAAAAAATCTGAAATTTAATATTAATTTACATTTTGTTTTAGAAATATTTATGAAATGGAGAGTTTAAAAATATACGTGTTTTAAATGCGAAATTCTAGTTCATATTTAAGTGTTTATTTGATTAAAATAGTAAAAAATAGATTATTTTATACTAATTATATGTAATTAATTACTATTTATATCAAATAAATGTGTGAATTTATGTGTGTAAATATGACAAATTAACTTATTTAGACGCGGATAAATGTTCGAAATTAATTTGTTTATATTTCATCGCAAATAAAAACTGCTTTAGAGTCCTAAGACATTGGACAAGTAAAATTACAACATCGTGATCCGAAAAAGTAGTTCGAAATGGCAGTAATATTTCCACGCAACTAAAGTCGACTTAAGCGCTTTTAACATATTAACACATATGCAAGTAAATATTTAATGATTTATGAATATCAATGTTCAAATTTCAACATCAAAACTAATTTAGTTATTTCCACATCGATTACAGCCAAATGCAAGCAGCTTCAAGGTGCATGCCGCAAACATACATACACACAAGCAAATATATAGGTAAACAACACGGTTAAACATATAAGCATGCAATAACAAATTAAGTCACTAGATAATACATATTTTGATAAACATTATTTATGTGTCATATTCAACATTGACTTGCTTAAAATGGCATAGACAGTAAAATAATAATAAATAAATACAGTTTTTATGTTAGATTACGCATTTGCGTATTTGTTTGTGTGTAAATAGCATAAGTATTGAGTAAGGTGCTGTTAAAGGATTAATTTGTGTACTTACCGACGCACTGGCACGGCTAAATTGTCAACGCTGCGTGACAAAAGCGATACATCTTGACTAGCCCTACGTGACCTATGCAAGTGTTATTTGTTTTTGTTGCGGTTAGGAACCAACGAGCAAATCGAGTGAACATAAAATAAAATTAAAGAAAAAATTAAAACGATAGAATGTACAAAAGCAAAGTGTTTAAAGCGTTAAAAATAACATTTTGAAAAATTACTTACGCTAAAACCTTTACAAAATTTTTTTGAAAATTAAAAAAATAAAATAATTGTCTGTGTGCTCTGTGAATTTAAACTGCGTTGCGAGGTTTCTTTCCCTCTTAGTCTACAGTGCAAACATACTCTCCCTCTAACAAATGAAAAATAATAACTGTAAAACACAGTGTTGCATCGATTGTATACACCTTTTGCACGTGGGCGTCACACTAAACGCCGTTAAATGCATTAACGGTGCATAAAAGCGTTTTGTGGCTTTTGTGCGCGCCATTTACATAGTCATAGCTCAAGCGGCGCCCTCAGGGAAGCGCGATTATTGCATTTTTCCAACATTTCATGCATAGACAATATGGCTGGGGCAGCGTTAGGGTGAGTAATGGACGGTAGGATGCCATGTGCCTTTGACATTTCATCGGCTATAAAATTCATGGCCATAAGAAAGGCATAAATTCACTCGAGTTTTTAGGTGTTTGCATGCCGAGAACGCGATCTAATATTCAGGGGTGGGTTAGATGTGTGCAATTTAAAAAATTATAAGTAATTTCCGTTTCTGCTAATGCGCTGTTCTAAAAGCATTGCTTATAATGAGTTTGGCTTTAAACGATTATAACGGTTTCAAATGCAAAATACTGTTATTAATAGTTTGTTATCTCAGATTGTGATATTTTTCATAAACGAAAATAACTGATATCTGTAGACACTGCGTTTAAATCAGGAAAATTCAAATAGTTTCAAAAAATATATTGTCCTATGAGATTAATTGTGACAAAAAAGCACCCGGAAATTCTAATTAAATTCCCCGGGTACATTATATCTAAATAAAATGTATTTTGTTAGTTAGTTGGACTGTCCTTAATTATGATGAATGAGCGTGATCTGTCAACCAGTTTGTTTATGACAGCAGCTTAAGTCGTTACACCTCAGTAGTGCGTTGCGATTTCTACAATGAAAGGAAAATATCGATCAGATGTCATAAAGATGGCAAGAGAGCTCGACAACTCTCACTAGTCCGTTCGAATGATTTTGGTGGGTATTTTGTAAAGTTAAATCTGAATTTTTTTTTAAAGTGCGAACTCCCATCCCACATTCATGGAGAGTATTATAACTCCCGACGAGACATATGTATGTAGGTTTATGTGTTCGACATGCAAACAAGTCAACAATCATCGGAATGTGGGGAAGAAAACGAGCCGAAATCTAAAACACGGCAAAGCCGCTCACAAATCAAGGTAATGCTCATTGTCTTTTTCGTTATTCGTGGTTTGGTGCTTCACAAATTTGTTTCGGAGGGACAGACGGTCAATAAGGAATTCTATTTGGCAATATTGAGGCGTTTGCGAGCGAAGATCCGTCGAAAACGGCCGGAATTGTGGGAGAACTATTCATGGATTTTACACGATGGTAATGCACCGTGGCATCGAGCCACGATTGTGACCAAATTTAAAGCAAAAAACGCAATGAATACCATCGACCAAACACCGTATTCACCAGATTTGGCTACGTATGCTACGTTCTCCAAACTGAAATTGCACCTCCATGGAACTCGTTTTCAGTCAATCGAAGAGATAAAACAAAATTCTCCTCCAAGATGAGCTGAAGGTCAAATAAAAAAAGTGCTTCTGAAAAGACTGGAAAAATCGTTGCTATAAGTATACTATTACATTGATGACTAATTAAATATTTTGCATTTTATTTACAACTTCCGTTTTTCGATTACTCAAAAAATTATATCATCATATCATGGTTTATATTTTACTGTTATAATAAAAAAGAATTCTTCAGGACGATATAGGCAAGATTCCGACATGCAACCTTTCATACTAATCATTGACAAAGGTTGCTCCCCATTTCGTTAATGATATCATGAAGCACACTCCGAGAAAAGAAAAAATGTGAAGTTCGATTGCTATAATCCCCTTCTCAAATAAAATTTTCAACACAAGAACTTAGTTTGGACAGTTCAGTTTGTATGGCAGCTCACCATAGCAGTTGTTTCAGCAAATGAGTAGCGTTTTAAGGAGTGTTATATCAAAAACTGAGTGACTAACTCGCGTATACTATATACAGAAGGTCAGACTAAACTAAATAAATTCGAGCTGATTCTTTTTGGGTCTCCAATGTTACTTCTGGGAGTTAAAAACTGTGTGGTAAACTTAATATAGCCTGTTCTGGGTATTTCTCTTAGAAATAGCCATAGTTTTATAAACGCTTTGAAGACTACGGATAAAACATAGTAAAACCATATTCTAGTCACATTTTATATGTATGTATGCATATATATTAGGTTTTTCGCTAGTTGGCGCTGAGAGCGCGTAGTTCTAGTTTTATTCGTCGCATCGGGTCATGCTATACCTTTTTGGAAAGCTCATTTCACGCGCTAACACGTGTTTGATTGATTTTATTTTCTTTTAAGTCGTTCGTGAGTTATAGCGTCGCAAACATGGAGCAAAATAAAGAGGAAATAGGGCATATTTTACAGTACTACTGCGATAAAGGCAAAAATGCATCTCAAGCCGCCAATAAAATGTGTGCAGTTTATGGACCCGATACAGTTTCCAGAAAGAGACGGGCATAGTAGCAGCCGTAGCATCGGAGAATACCGCAAGACTTTTTTGACAACCTATTATTTTTAAAACCTTAGCTTTACTTCTGTACGGTAATGAATAGTTAATATACAGCTTATAAAATAAGTTTCAAAACTTATGGAGATCCGTTGAGTAAGTAATTCAAAAGAAAGTTCCAAACATTTAATAAAATGCATCAGACTTCACTTAAGGGTGCCAAATTGATTCCAAAATGGGTTTCAGTCACTCTCCACCTTACTGTGAATCTGAACATTTTTACGGATTTAGTAGGTCTTTTTCGCTACGAATAAAGTTCAATCAGGTGGAATTTTTTTTTAAATTTTGAAAAAGCTCTGTGCAAAGTGGGTGCCACGCGAGCTCCCTTTTGATCAAAAACAACGATGTGTTGATGATTTAGTTTAGCTTGAAATTTTATTATTATCAAAGAATTATGTGATTAGGTAATAATCGAAATTCTTAAATAAATTATGCTTTTTCATGCATTTTTGAAATTCTCTGAAAAAGGCATCACAGATCCTTTCACAATGAGCTCTGAGACCGACCCTAAAGAGATCGACCAAATATTTTAAGCTGAATGCATCTTTCGGATATCAAACATAGAATTTTTCCTGTAGATTAGTACAAGTTTTTAAAGAGATAAAATATAGCCGGGAATCACCACAACAAAGTGTACTTTGAAAAAGAATTATATATTATATATTATTGGATCAATATGCCGCCCGTGTTTGCCTTCTTTCGAATATAATAGTTCTAGATTAAACTAATTGAAGTATTATGCGAATGAGTTCGAGAACCACAGAGGAAGATGCTAGCGTGTTAGCATTTTTGATGGGCTCAGCTAATTGCTCGGTTGAAGCTGGAGTATAAGTCATTACTTACTCGAAAAAATGGTGGTTACAGAAACATAAAACTTAGCTGTTATTGTTGTTGAAGTTATTGCCTTTCAAAATTAAACTAAATGGCTATACTGACTAAATTTTGACAGTAATAATTCGATTCAACCAAGTGAGAATTTTATTAATATTTTTTTGTTTTGAAACTCAGATATATATTGTTTTGAGAACAATTGAAAGCGTATTTCCATCACTTAGGCATTCTAAATATATGGCCATCAAGAGCAAAATTTAAGTTTATTTAATTTTTAACACTTTTAATTTTATTACTTGTGAAACATATTTAGTTTTACAAGTTTCATAATTCTAGTAACAGAAGGCTGTTAAGCGCTTAATTAACACTGTAATAAATGGCAACCTGCGTAGGTCAGCAAAAGAGTGTGCAGCGAAGCAAAAAGCATACATTCATTTATAATTATATATATGAATAAATTATTAAAATATGCACTTATGTAAGCCATATATTAATTTATAATTTTATGATTTTTTATGGGGCAATAAATATTAATTAATATTTCTGAAACTAATTGAAGGCAATTCTACAATCAATTAGCACGATTGTCAAATGACAACTAAAAAAAAGTGAGAGAAAACATTGAACAGAGCATAAAATAAGGTGAGCTAGTTTTCAGAATATTGGGAATATCTATTATATATCTACATTGTGGTCTTTATGATACGCTTATACTTTTTAAGTGACTTGATTTCATTATCTTCTGCTTTTGAAGGTGTTCACACAGCCCATTCCATTAAATTGACATTTCCCGCATTACGGCGGAAATTATATATGTTTACTTATGCATTTCTTTGTTGTTTACAGATAATTTCAAAATCATTTAATTTATTGACGAGTCGGCGTTTACTATTTACCAGCTAATTGCTGGGTAAATGTTGGCTGTTAATTACATAATTCACTGAAGCCAATGACGTGATACGGATATTGTTTGATTTATGCAATGCTAATGAACTTATCGATTTAAGTTAAGGCATTGGTATAATCATATTAATAAAAGGTCAAAATAATTGTTTATAGAAATATTTATACTTCGAGCGCGTGCCTAAAAATATCAAATGCAATTTTCTTAAAAAGAAAATAGGTCAATATTTTGAGTTCGAATTAACATCACAAAAAATTGTTCAGAGGCTAATAAGTTTGTTTGTTTGATTTCTAATGCCTCGCAATGTTACGATCGACCACAACACGTACGGGCTGGGATAGATACCGAGAGTTGAAGGGGGAAGCGAGACGCATTTGCAGACAGAAAAAGAAAGAGGCCGAAATGCGTGAGTACAAAGAGCTTTATAAGCTGGACAACAGGGGTAATTTCAAGACTTGTAGAACCACCAAAGGTAATCTAGTCGTCGATGCCCAGAGC